CGCGATGCTGAGGTCGCTGGCGCTCAATTTCTTCCTGACGGAGAAATGCTACGAGGAATTTTTCCTGGAGTTTAACCTGTTGGACGGTGAGGGAACGCGGGAGGAGCAGGCCGCCCCATTCTGTCCCCGGGACCCTTGGACCCGACCTCTCACCCGTGGCCCGCTCCGATTGGTCCGCCCGTATCTGCAGTGGCCAATCCGAACGACTGTTCTGAATTGCCGTCGCTTCCCCATTGGCCGATACCCATGTCGATCAGATCGAAGCCCCACCCTCTTAAAGCTGTGATGTCCTTTTGGTGAAATACGATCTATGGGCGCTAAATACTTCAGTGTTTGGGTGAACAGTTCACTTTCCTGAGCTACCCTGATGTAGTCTGTTTTTCACCTTGTGGAAGATTCTAGAAGGGGGCCAGAGATGAGGAGGAATTACTTATGGAGTCCTAAAATCCCAACAGTGTGGGAGCAGGCCATTCGGCCCATCGAGTCTATGCTGACCCTCCAAATAGCATCCCATCCAGACCTGCCTTACATCATCTCTTTAGGTCTGCTTTAGCCCGGGCCATTCCCCCTTAACTGCACCACCCTGGGACACTATGGGACAATTTAGCACGGCCAATCCACCCTAACCTGCACATCCCTGGGACACTATGGGACAATTTAGTACGGCCAATCCACCCTACCCTGCACACCTTTGGACTATGGGAGGAAACCAGAGCACCCGGAGGAAACCCACGCAGACACGGGGAGAACGTGCAAACTCCACACAGACAGTCGCCCGAGGGTGGGATCGAACCCGGGTCCTTGGCGCTTTGAGGCAGCAGTACTACCCCCTGAGCCACCGTGACCTCTCAGAGGGGTGTGGATTTTGATCATGGAGGGTTGTGAAGGCTGGTGCATTGAGGATATTGAAGGCTGAGCTGGACATATTTTCAGTAAGGGTATCACAGTTTGTGGGGAAACAGAGCAGGAAAGTGGAGTTGAGGATTATCAGACTGGAGGAGCAGGCTTGATGGGCCGAATGGCCGTTTCTGCTCCTACATCTTATTGTCTTGAGGGGAGAGCTGTTGTTCGTCCACCTGCCTGCACTTCCCCAATCTCTCTGCTCAGCACCTAGAATACTTCCCCTCTCAACTGAAAGATGCAAACAGAAGACAAACCATGGCGCTGTGAGGCTAACCACTGAGCCACTTGAACTGAACAACGTCTTGCTGTGCTGCATATTTTATTGATAAGGAAGTTCCTTTTTTAACATCCATTAACAGGACGAGGGCGTTGCTGGCTAGGTCAGCATTTATTTCCCATCCCTAATTGCCCAGAGGGCAGTTCAGAGTCAACCAGATTGCTGTGGGTCTGGAGTCTCATGCTGGCCAGACCAGTTAGGGATAGCAATTTCCTTCCCTAAAGGACATTAGTGAACCAGATGGGTTTTTCCGACAATGGATTCACGGTCATCATTAGATTCTTAATTCCAGATATTTTTATTAAATTCAAATTCCACCATCTGCCCTGGTGGGATTCAAACCCACGTCCCCAGAATGGGTCTCTGGGTTAACAGTCCAGTGAGTGTTCCCTCATCTGACATGGAGATGCCATTGGGGACTTTTTCTTTTAAATTCATTCGTGGGATGTGGACATCATTGGCTGATCCAGTCTCCATAAACGTTACCATTCGCACCATTAAAATGAAACTAAACTCAAAGCTGTAAACTTTTACAGTGAGTACAATCTGTAAGATGAAAACCTGTCATTCCTAATTGTGATGAGTTACCTCTAAAAGCACTGCCGAAGGATTTCCACTCAAGACAGGGCTAATGACCTACATTGGAAGTGTAATCCATGATGTCATTGTAGGATCGGAAGCGGGATTACAGTCCACGAAAAGAGAGCTGTCAGGTTCAGTCTGTGTCCCCCAGGGATACTGGGTACGAAGATGATTGTGAGCTCCTGTGGGAGGCTCTCACTCCAAATGCCAGTGTGCCCAGCTATTGGCAGGCGATGGAGAGCAGTGTGCCTGAGAGCAGCCGTCTGCTTTTTCAGTCAAGTCCTTTCACACCTTTACTGGCTCCCAGTCTGGCAGCTCCTCCATGTAAGGTTTCCCATCTCCGTTTTCAAATAATTCAAAAGCCCTGTCTCTGTCACTCCCTCCAGTCCCTACACCCCCTCCCTATCTCTGTCACCCCCTCCAGCCCCCTCACCCCCTCCCTATCTCTGTCACCCCCTCCAGCCCCTACACCCCCTCCCTATCTCTGAAACCACCTTCAATTCCAGTCTCTTGACCATCCCCCGATTCCTATCGCTCCATCATAAGGGGCCATGCCTTCAGCTGCCTGTGCCCCGAGCTCTGGAACCCCCTCCTTAAGCTCACTGCCTCCCCTCTCCTCCTGTAAGATGCTGCTTAAAGCCATTGTACCTTGTGGGAGCTGACCCATACCTGGATCTCTGGTTTCAGCAGTTGATCGACCATGAAGCACCCCCGTTGTTGTTGTGTCTGTGTGAAAGGTGCCTGAGCAATGCAGTTTCTGGGTGGCTGCATTGCTCCTCCCATGGTGGCTTGCAGCGGGATCGCTCGGTGCAGACGCAGCATTAACGTTCCTTCTGTTTTTGATCTCTCTCCAGTTCCCTGCCTGAAACTGCTGCTCAGCAAAGTCTTGGGACTGTCCATCATCGCAGGATCGGTGATGGGTAAGTGATTCCGAAATGAATCCAATCCGACGAATATATTCATTCCCAGGATGTGGGGGGGTTCGCTGGCTGTTTCCTGTCACTAGTTGTCCCTGAGAAAGTGCTGGGGATGTTGGTGTCTGGATGCAATACAGACTATCTGTATATTTCTGTTCCATAACACTGGTGAGTCTGAATAGGTCAATCTGTAAAGCACCAGGCTTTAATCTGAGGGTCCAGAGTTGAATCCTTGGGACAGTATGGTGGCTCAGTGGTTAGCACTGCTGCCTCACAGCACCAGGGGACCCGGGTTCGATCCCACACTCGGGCGACTGTCTGTGTGGAGTTTGCACATTCTCCCTGTGTCTGCGTGGGTTTCCTCCGGGTGCTCCGGTTTCCTCCCACAGTCCAAAGT